GTAGTTTTGATTTGCATTTCTCTGATAATTAGTGATATTGAGCATTTTTTCATGTGCTTTTTGATCATTTGTATGTCTTCCTTGGAGAATTGCTTGTTTAGGTCTTCTGCCCATTTTTGGATTGGGTTTATTTTTTTCTTATTGAGTCGTATGAGCTGCTTATATATTTTGGAGATCAAGCCTTTGTCGGTTTCACTTGCAAAAATTTTCTCCCATTCCGTAGGTTTTCTTCTTGTTTTATTTCTGGTTTCCTTTGCTAGTGATAACTTTTAAGGCTCCATTCTCCTGTTCTTTTATCTAATATTCCAACCTGTCTGGAATTTCCAAATTCTTATTTCAGAACAGAGCAAATGTTTGGGGGAAGAGTTGTGGGTTGTCCTTCATAACAAACGTTATGTGAAAATTAACATCAAGGAACCAGATGTAACAAGAGTACAAAGAATAGAAAACCAGATCATATAAACACAGAGAAAAAATAAAGCTTCCCAGCAGGAGTTTACTGAGGGGAACAGAGCTGCGGTAGTTAACTATTCCTTTATAGCTAGGTACACGTCACTTGGAGAAGGCATGTTTCTGTCCAGGATGACAGTGAATGTACACTCCATTACGTGTCTATTGTTTAGGAGACAGAAGTAATAGGGGCCAAATCCACAAAATGCCATAGGGGAGATAGGCAACACAGAGGAAAAGGTTCACTTAAGTCTGCCTACAAAATGAAAAAATCATTCACATTTGTGTGCTGCTCTTCTTCCTGACTATCTGTTAATGAAAACAGTTCTCTAGCTCTGCAAGTCATAAGGGTTACCAAATGTTCACTCAAAATTTTAAAATAGCAACAAGCAAAAAAATATAAATGTACTCAAGCCTTTATCTCGAATGATCTCACATCTGTACAGATTTCCTGAATAATGTGAACTAAAAACATGACTCTTTTACTTGAAGCATTACTCATTCATTCTTACTGCCTAAAAATATGACTGACATAGAGACATGTTTTGAAGACATAATAAAGAAGCTGGGAGGATTCAAGCATCCCAAACTGAAGCACTGCTGAAGTCATGATGCTTTAAGTAGATCCAATATAGGGTCAAAATAGTATCTTTCCAACCTAGAGATTGCATTTAGCTACTCAGACTTAGCATACAATAGTCATGAGAAACAGAGCAGTGAGGTATACTTGGAGAACATACGTTATGTATATGCGTATATGTATCTATAGGTGTGTATTTTCTCTCATGGAATAGTCCCAGTCCACAGCAGGGAGTTTCAGATTATTATCCTAAACATAAAGGAATGACTTCCCTACTGCATGAGAGAAAATATAATAAATGACTTTTCAGGATGTCCTTTCCCTCCTCTAGTCCCAGTAACTATAAATATGAAATATGATCAAGAAATAAAACGGAGGAAGAATGCAAAAAAAAGGGGGGGGGGAGGGAAAAGTTAATTTCATCAAGAAATAAAATTAGTGAAAGCTTAGTTATGTATCCGCCAAAAATATTTGCATTGATGATGATAATGAATATAATAGCAGCCAGCATTTAAAGAGCATTAAGTATATCACATACACTGAGTCTTTAATCTTCATAAAAGCCCAGTAAGACAGATATTATTTCCATTTTACAGATGAAGAAACTGACACTCATAAAGATTAAGTAACTTGCCTAAGGTTAAATTGCTACTAAATTGAGGAGTATATATTACATACCAGTCAATTCAATGTTGTTTTCTAGTCAAAATGTATGAAATGAAATGATCCTTTAAAAACACTGTAATAAAGTAATAAATCATATATGTTAAGATCCAACTCAATTGCCTAAGATTCTAAAGACATATAATCTGAGTTAGTACTGATCCCAGTTCTCATGAAAGAAAGAAATGTACAAGGGAGAATAAAGAGTGAGACTGCTAACAAAGAAGTAATTATATACACAGTCTTCAATGCCCACTGTAAATAATAACATTTCTTCCATTACCCCCAGTCACATACAGCCACAGCAATCTCTCCTTCCTCAGATCTTCCTATGCGTATAAAACTAATCCAAAATCGATTCTGTGAGAGCTGACATTTAAACACACAAACACATATACTATACATGCACAAACACAACGCGGGTCATCTTCATACTCCAGGCATTGGCTGGACAACACTATTCCATCATATGTATTCAGCTTAAAACACAAAGCACCCAGAAATACCCACAAATATCTAAAACATTAAGATCATAATTTTACATGGCTACTACTCTCTAAGTCTTATTTTTTCAAATAACAAAGTGATATATAAAAACTTGTCACAAATAAAAATCTGTCATTTTGTTAACCCTTGTTTAATTTTAATTGAATTATGTTTAAATTTTCAATCCAGAGAACAAACACCCTGCTAACGATAAAGTATAAGACCTAGTCAACAAAATGCATCATTTCAATGGGATACCCTTTCTTACCTTCGAATCTTCATTGCTCACTCCTAGCTGTAACACAGCTTGAGGAGATTTTAGTTTTGCTTGAGCAGAGTGAGCCATCTGAAGGTTAAGCTGCCATCCAACCGTCTCCAGCTATAAAAGACAAGTGCAGATTAGAATCAGATGGAACAGAAGGAAGGAAACAGTCAACTTTAAGCAAATCTCCAATCAGCAGAATGAACACGGATAGTCTGGACTTTGTGGAAAGTCAGTTCTAGGGCTCCTCGAACCTGCATAGTCTGCACATTCTCCCTTTGGGCTTATTAGATTGGCCTCGTGCCATGCCTGTCAAATTCAACAGTAAAACTGGTCTTTAAATACACTTTGTTCTAAAAATAAAAGTTCTGAGACTAAGGAATGAAGCACACTAAAGGCGTCAATGACTTTTAAGTAGTTATAAATTTTAACTAGTAAATAGCATATACTGGAGATAAGCACTTTAATGACCTCCCATTATCTTTCAAAACTCTTTGAATGCAGGTGAACACAGATAAAAATTTTTTTTTACTTTAAAGGGAAACTGAAGTGCCCAGATGGTAAGAGGTTCACATGTTTAGACACAATGAGACTGGAATAGAGCCAGACAAAGAATTGATATCTACTAGTGAGCAGGTGTTACCATGCTTTCAAAGTACTCTAACTTACTACGGTTCCCAGTTATGACAGAAACTAATTAGAACAATTCCTTTGAATTTATTAATTAACACAAGAGCAAAATTTAATCAGGAAGGCAAAAACAGTAAAGACACACTAAAGCAGTTTAACTTTTCTTTTAAAACATGGCTTTATTCAACATGATAGAGTATTGGTTTCTTCAAGCTCAAAACTGTATCAAGTTTTAGATTTAATTTGCAGTAAACCTTAAGGTATCAGTATTTAGGGAAGTTTTGTGATATGAAATGGTCATATACCTCAGACAATACGACCCCAATAATTGATTTAGTAAAACTACTTTAGCTACACTGGTAAGAATGGCAGACTCACAATTTTTACTTAACCGGAATACTAATGGCTAACTTGAAAGACTGCTCAACAGCTAGAATCACAGCAGTGACTCCAGCCAAATTGGAAAGACAGCAATGGAAGTATTATCTATTCGAGAGAAGATGTGATGAGAAAATAAAGATACAGTTCTGTTCTTTCTGGCACTAAACCTTTAGAGGGTATGGGCAAAAAGGGGGAAGATGTTGCAGAGACATAATCCATAATACCACAAG